GGCAGCTCTTCAGCCTGGATTGGGATGTTGGAAACACTTTGCTCTGTGCCACTGACACCTCAGGGGCCACCACAGCCCTCCCTGGGCCACTGACACCCTTGGAGGGACAAGAGGGCACCCCAAGCGTTCTGAGGTGCTTCTGTTACCCACCACCGCAATTAAAGACATTTTAATTATCACCAGTCTGCTCTGAGAGCTGGACTGGGATCACTGGCACCCTGGGAATTCCCAGGAAAAGGTGCCTGGGATCCTCAGGGCATGGAAACAGCAGCACTTCATCAGAAAGCGAAGAAATTGAAGGCGAATTTAAATTAATTTGATTCTAATTAATTCAACAAATAAATAAATAAATGTAATTTAATTTAAATTCATTTGATTTAAGGGAAGGATCCCCTCTCCTGGCCTGGCTCCCTCCTGGACTCCAAGGAAAGGTTACTCACCCCTCTTCTGCATGAAGATGAAGAGGTCATCCAGGAACTCCTTGCGCTCGGGGTCGCTGTCCAGTTCGTAGAGCTGGGGGGGAAGGAGCCAAAATGAGACAGAATTCCGGAATTCTGCCCTCTGCCAGGGGGAGGAAAGCACAGGCAGGGAGGGGAGACATGGAGAGGGGCCTGGGGGCTCCGGGGCCACGGCTGGAGTGCAGCCCAGGGATGGAAAAGAGCCCCAGGGATGGAAAAGANGGCAGCTCTTCAGCCTGGATTGGGATGTTGGAAACACTTTGCTCTGTGCCACTGACACCTCAGGGGCCACCACAGCCCTCCCTGGGCCACTGACACCCTTGGAGGGACAAGAGGGCACCCCAAGCGTTCTGAGGTGCTTCTGTTACCCACCACCGCAATTAAAGACATTTTAATTATCACCAGTCTGCTCTGAGAGCTGGACTGGGATCACTGGCACCCTGGGAATTCCCAGGAAAAGGTGCCTGGGATCCTCAGGGCATGGAAACAGCAGCACTTCATCAGAAAGCGAAGAAATTGAAGGCGAATTTAAATTAATTTGATTCTAATTAATTCAACAAATAAATAAATAAATGTAATTTAATTTAAATTCATTTGATTTAAGGGAAGGATCCCCTCTCCTGGCCTGGCTCCCTCCTGGACTCCAAGGAAAGGTTACTCACCCCTCTTCTGCATGAAGATGAAGAGGTCATCCAGGAACTCCTTGCGCTCGGGGTCGCTGTCCAGTTCGTAGAGCTGGGGGGGAAGGAGCCAAAATGAGACAGAATTCCGGAATTCTGCCCTCTGCCAGGGGGAGGAAAGCACAGGCAGGGAGGGGAGACATGGAGAGGGGCCTGGGGGCTCCGGGGCCACGGCTGGAGTGCAGCCCAGGGATGGAAAAGAGCCCCAGGGATGGAAAAGANAACAGATCCCCAGGGATGGAAAAGAGCCCCAGGGATGGAAAAGATTCCCAGAAAGTGAATGGAACCCAAGGGATGGAAAAGAACCCCAGGGATGGAATGGAGCCCAAGGGATGGAAAGGATTCCAGAAATTGAATGGATCCTCAGAAATGAAACAGATCCCCAGAAATGGAACAGATCCCCAGAAATGGAACAGATTCCCAGGGATGGAAAAGAGCCCCAGGGATGGAAAACATTCCCAGAAACTGAATGGAGCCCCAGGGATAGAAAAGAACCCCAGGGAAGGAATGGATCCCCAGAAATTGAAGACATCCCCAGAAATGGAAAGGAGCCCCAGGGATGGAAAACAACCCCAGGGATGGAGTGGAGCCCCAGGGATGGATCCCCAAGGGTGGAATGGATCCCCAGGGATGGCAACGATCCTCAGAAAGGGAAAGGATCCCCAGAAAGGGAGCCCCAGGGATGGAATGGATTCCTAGGAATGGATCCCAGAGATGGAAAGGATCCCCAGAAAGGGACTGGATCCCCAGGGATTTAGTGGAGCCCCAGAAAGGAAATGGAATCACAGAGCTGGAAAAGAACCCCAGAAATGGAATGGATTCCAGAAATGGAATGGGTTCTCAGAAATGGAAAGTATCCCCAGAAACTGAATGGAGCCCCAGAGATGGAAAAGATTCCCAGAAACTGAATGGAGCCCCAGGGATGGAATGGAGCCCCAGAAATTGAATTGATTCATTGATTGAACAGATCCCAAAGATGGAATGGATCCTCAGAAATTGAATAGATTCCCAGAAATGGAAAGGATCCCCAGGGATGGAACGGATCCCAGAGATGGAATGGATCCTCAGAACTGGAACAGATTCCCAGAAATGGAAAGGAGCCCCAGGGGTGGAACGGAGCCCCAGAAAGGAAATGGCTTCACAGAGCTGGAAAAGAACCCCAGAAATGGAAAGGATTCCAGAAATTGAATGGATTCCCAGGAACTGAACAGATCCCCAGGGACAGAAAAGAACCCCAGGGATGGAATGGAGCCCCAGAAATTGAAAGGATTCACAGAAATCAAATGGATCCCCAGGAATGGAAAAGAAAAATGAAAATTAAAAACATGCCCAGAAATGGAATGGAACCCCAGGAATGGAATGGATCCCCAGAGATGGAAAATATCTCCAGAAATGGAATGGATTCCCAGAAATCAAATGGATCCCCAGAACTGGAAAAGAAGCCCAGAAATGGAAAGGATTCCCCAAAATGGAAAGGATTCCCCAAAATGGATCCTGCTTCCAAATAAAGCAAAAGCCTTCAGAAATGCCAGCAATCAGCCCAGAATTTATCTGTTACAGGAATAATTTACTATTTATAATTTTTATTTATTTATAAGTATTTTGTGTTTCTATTATTTATAATAAATATTTCTAAAATGTCTTTATGAAATAGATAATTTATGTTATATTTATAGAAATACTTATAAAATATAAATATTTTATAGAACAGAAATATGTGTTAATATTTATTATTTATAATTTGGGTTTGAAATGCCCAGATCATTAAACTGAAGTTCCCCAGGCAGTGCATCCCAAAAGATTTTTGGGGCTGAATTCCTGGGAAGCTCTGGAAGAGCAGAGCTGCCTTAGTTTCAACTCCAGCTGCTGTGACACATTCAAATCTACAAACACAGCATTCCAAAGGGAGAATATTCTCCTCCCAGCTGGAGAAAAACTGGATTAAAGCCTTTAAATATCCAAAATCTGGTTTTTCATCATTAGTTCAGTAAGAATTAAATATTGCAACCTGATTCAAGGCAACAAACCAGCCCCGAATTGCAGGACAAAGCAATTTTCCTACAAATCCCCTGCAGGGAGGGCTCTGCCATGGGGTCAGGGGAGGATTCCCCAAATTGCCCAAGCTCCCCAAATTTCCCCAAGTGCCCGGACAGACCTTGGCAAAGTCTCGGGAGATTTCCCTTCCCCGGCAGCCGTCGCCTTCGTCGCTCCAGCTCCCGCCGCCGTTCTGGGGAGGCAAAAACAGCAAAGGATTCCTGTCCTGGCTTGTAAGGTGAGCACGGATTCTGTTTGCCACCTGTTGGAGCTGGGGCAGTTTCTTATCTCTTCCAAAACGTCTCCCTCCGGGGAGATATCTACTGTTAATGGGCTATTGAATGACTCCCTGCATGACTGGGAAAGTTCACAGAATTACAGAATAATGAGGTTGGAAGAGACCTCTAAAATCATCNAACAGATCCCCAGGGATGGAAAAGAGCCCCAGGGATGGAAAAGATTCCCAGAAAGTGAATGGAACCCAAGGGATGGAAAAGAACCCCAGGGATGGAATGGAGCCCAAGGGATGGAAAGGATTCCAGAAATTGAATGGATCCTCAGAAATGAAACAGATCCCCAGAAATGGAACAGATCCCCAGAAATGGAACAGATTCCCAGGGATGGAAAAGAGCCCCAGGGATGGAAAACATTCCCAGAAACTGAATGGAGCCCCAGGGATAGAAAAGAACCCCAGGGAAGGAATGGATCCCCAGAAATTGAAGACATCCCCAGAAATGGAAAGGAGCCCCAGGGATGGAAAACAACCCCAGGGATGGAGTGGAGCCCCAGGGATGGATCCCCAAGGGTGGAATGGATCCCCAGGGATGGCAACGATCCTCAGAAAGGGAAAGGATCCCCAGAAAGGGAGCCCCAGGGATGGAATGGATTCCTAGGAATGGATCCCAGAGATGGAAAGGATCCCCAGAAAGGGACTGGATCCCCAGGGATTTAGTGGAGCCCCAGAAAGGAAATGGAATCACAGAGCTGGAAAAGAACCCCAGAAATGGAATGGATTCCAGAAATGGAATGGGTTCTCAGAAATGGAAAGTATCCCCAGAAACTGAATGGAGCCCCAGAGATGGAAAAGATTCCCAGAAACTGAATGGAGCCCCAGGGATGGAATGGAGCCCCAGAAATTGAATTGATTCATTGATTGAACAGATCCCAAAGATGGAATGGATCCTCAGAAATTGAATAGATTCCCAGAAATGGAAAGGATCCCCAGGGATGGAACGGATCCCAGAGATGGAATGGATCCTCAGAACTGGAACAGATTCCCAGAAATGGAAAGGAGCCCCAGGGGTGGAACGGAGCCCCAGAAAGGAAATGGCTTCACAGAGCTGGAAAAGAACCCCAGAAATGGAAAGGATTCCAGAAATTGAATGGATTCCCAGGAACTGAACAGATCCCCAGGGACAGAAAAGAACCCCAGGGATGGAATGGAGCCCCAGAAATTGAAAGGATTCACAGAAATCAAATGGATCCCCAGGAATGGAAAAGAAAAATGAAAATTAAAAACATGCCCAGAAATGGAATGGAACCCCAGGAATGGAATGGATCCCCAGAGATGGAAAATATCTCCAGAAATGGAATGGATTCCCAGAAATCAAATGGATCCCCAGAACTGGAAAAGAAGCCCAGAAATGGAAAGGATTCCCCAAAATGGAAAGGATTCCCCAAAATGGATCCTGCTTCCAAATAAAGCAAAAGCCTTCAGAAATGCCAGCAATCAGCCCAGAATTTATCTGTTACAGGAATAATTTACTATTTATAATTTTTATTTATTTATAAGTATTTTGTGTTTCTATTATTTATAATAAATATTTCTAAAATGTCTTTATGAAATAGATAATTTATGTTATATTTATAGAAATACTTATAAAATATAAATATTTTATAGAACAGAAATATGTGTTAATATTTATTATTTATAATTTGGGTTTGAAATGCCCAGATCATTAAACTGAAGTTCCCCAGGCAGTGCATCCCAAAAGATTTTTGGGGCTGAATTCCTGGGAAGCTCTGGAAGAGCAGAGCTGCCTTAGTTTCAACTCCAGCTGCTGTGACACATTCAAATCTACAAACACAGCATTCCAAAGGGAGAATATTCTCCTCCCAGCTGGAGAAAAACTGGATTAAAGCCTTTAAATATCCAAAATCTGGTTTTTCATCATTAGTTCAGTAAGAATTAAATATTGCAACCTGATTCAAGGCAACAAACCAGCCCCGAATTGCAGGACAAAGCAATTTTCCTACAAATCCCCTGCAGGGAGGGCTCTGCCATGGGGTCAGGGGAGGATTCCCCAAATTGCCCAAGCTCCCCAAATTTCCCCAAGTGCCCGGACAGACCTTGGCAAAGTCTCGGGAGATTTCCCTTCCCCGGCAGCCGTCGCCTTCGTCGCTCCAGCTCCCGCCGCCGTTCTGGGGAGGCAAAAACAGCAAAGGATTCCTGTCCTGGCTTGTAAGGTGAGCACGGATTCTGTTTGCCACCTGTTGGAGCTGGGGCAGTTTCTTATCTCTTCCAAAACGTCTCCCTCCGGGGAGATATCTACTGTTAATGGGCTATTGAATGACTCCCTGCATGACTGGGAAAGTTCACAGAATTACAGAATAATGAGGTTGGAAGAGACCTCTAAAATCATC